GATGCTCTCCCATGTAAACTATCACTAAATTCACAATAAAAACAAAAACTTTGTTCTGGGATTAATTGGGTCTGTTCTCAAAGTAGGTGCAGAGTCTAGGGTCTAAGTTTTTAACCTACCCTATTATGGACACTCTCTGATATCTTGTACATTATGAGGTCTTTCTATTCTCGGTTGTGGGAACATGAATTATTTATGAGTTCCAGAAATTACTTATGTACTGCTTTCCTCTGGCTATGAAAGTTTCCTTGCATACATGTGTAGACTAATCAGTGCTGCATGGTAAGTCCTATACAGATCTCTATGCACTATCTCTACACTGTTTCTACCCTAGCACTCTGTCCAAAAATTGTTGCAGCCTTGACCTGTCTTGTGTCCTCAGTTCTCAACTCTGTTTCACTTCTCCATTGTCTATAAATTGTTTCTAGGAGTTTTAACTGCTTTTGGAGTTTTACCTGTAGGGTTCACCTAGAACAACTTTTATGTCAGTCCTGAACAGTTTTTGCTCAATATCTTAAAGTAACTGTTTCATATTGTGTGCAGTTCTCTAGCTGTTTAAATAATAAAAGTAAACTCTGTTATTCCATCATGGTTGAGATTTGTAACAGATCAATTTATAAAAAATGCCCTGTCTTCCATTTTGTTTGTAAGATCAACTGACTGATTTCAGAAAATAGGGAAAGTTACCACCTGAATTAAAGTTGTTATGGCTGAAGATAGTCAAGTTAGCAACATAGTTCTTAAATTTAGGACTATTTGTCTCTTAAGATAAGGAGCATAGTGGCACTGTGGGCCAAGTATTGGACGGCTAACAACAGGGTCAGCAGTTCAAACCCACCAGCCATTCATGGAAGAAAGATGAGGTTGTTTGCTCCAGAAAGATTTACAGTATGAGAAACCCAATTAGGGTAACTAGAAGTTGGAATCAACTCACTGAACATGGGTTTGGGTTTTTGGTTTATCTTTCAGATGATGAGATTTTCTAGACAAGACTGATGCTATCACCAAGTATTAAAATAAATGGATTCAAAGTCCACATTTGATAATAACTACATCACAAGAGACAAATCTGAAATTAAGAAATAACTTTAAGAATAAATTATTTTTATATCATAATTAAACCAGAGTTTCTCAAACGTTAAAAAATTAAGGAATATATAGCATCTGAGCAGTCAATGCTGAGCACAAAACCCGTGGAGAGCCAAAGCTCGGAGGGTACGTGACGTTTTCAGGAAAAGGAGTGAAAGCACCAAACTATAAGTTAGGAGTCAATTTCTGAAGGGTCTTGAATTTTGTACTTGGATTGTGATCTGATTTATCTGGCAACAACAATGTGAAATATATTGAGACAAGAGAAGCAGTTACACCAGGGATGGAGGTAGAGGTGATGGCATGGAGAGATAGAGCAGCTGAGGATTCTGGACTCATGGAAGAGAAAGGCTATGTGCCGGCAGCCAGGAAGCTGTCTTCCAGAATGTGCCCTTTGGTTGCAGGATTATATATTCCTGTGTTTCTTTTATTTT